TGTGAAAATGAGAAAACTCTGCCTTTAGTTTTGCAAAAAACTAATTAAAGTAAAATCTATATACATATGGACTTAAAAGAAAAGTATATATGGCTTTCAGTTTGTCATGCAGTGAATGACTTCATATGGTCCTTTGAGTTATTCATGTTCTTGTATTCCTAGGAACTGACTGGGTGAGACCATGCAAATAAGGTGCTTGTGGCCTGTTAAGAGGATTAGACAACTTATAAATAATGAAAATAAAGCATGTGGCACCTCATTGGATGTGGGACCACACAGATAAGATGTATAGAACCCCAAAAGGAAATTGGTCAGTTATGTCATCTGCTAAGTTTACAAAGAGAGCTAAACCCTCTAGCAGAGTAGAGACTCTACTGCAGCCAAGAAAGAAAGGTGAAATGTGGAATACATCCTTTAAAACCAGGTGCCTCCTGTTAGAACCTTCTAGACTCAAGAGACAAAGAGTAAGAGCCGTAACACTTGAGATAGCTTGTAAAGATGAGAAACAGAGACAGCAGAACTGAGAAACTAGCATGGGATGGAATCGTGGGCTTCCTGACCCATAGAGCAGGGAGTCAGGGACCTACAGGCAGAATGCTTGCTGGTCTCTAAATGTGGGAGACAGCCAGAGCCAGGTTGTTTGCACAGACGGAAAAAAAGAACTAAGCACCTTTGGGCTGAGGCTTAGTGGTAGACTGGGAAGCTTCTAGGCACTTATTGGTAGAACTCTAACACTTGCCCAAGCTGAGCATGGGCTGTAGGTCAGAAATAGAACTGAGAGCAAGATGAAAAGCTTCTTACAGAACTGTCCCCTGAGTCATTCCTGATCCTGAACTGTAACTGGTTACTTCCCTTCTATACCCTATAATCCTGAGTATTGTTTATGAGGTCTCTGTGACTATTGTAACAAATAACAGAACCCAGGAGAAAAGTAAAGAGTAAAGTGGATATAGTGGGTTGCTGTCAGAATAAATACAAAAGTTGGAAGGTGTAGTTATTCCTGATTTACACTTCATAACAATCAGCCAAAGATTGACGCTGATGATTTTCTCCCTGAAGTAAGATGAGATCAGGAACTACTGTCACACTAATTTTTACACACTAACAAGAATTATTTGCTATTCTCTCCACAGTCAGACTGCTTATATAATTCACAATTTTCATTTTCTAGAAGTATAAATTTTCATTTAAAAGCACAACACAGTATCAAAAAAACGCTCAAAAAGAAATCAACTGCCAAGTTGCTCTCGGTCTTCAATCCTGCCAAAAATTCCGTTACAATAAAGCCAACAGAAACTGACAGATAATCAACACCTTAAATTTGATCTAAAGTTGCTATAATCATGGTATTCTACTTAAAGAGAATAAAAATCCAATGACACTTTCAAATACATGTGAAAACAATGATTTAGAGAATGTGTGTTTCAAAATTAAGCAAATTAATAGATTAATTCCTTTTTTTAGTAAATACTTTTTGCTTTTCCAAATTCACCTAGATGAAAATATATATCAAAGCTTCTAAAACTAGTTTTGGGCCAACTTTATAGATGCAGACTATTCTGTGGGACTAAAATAAGAAGGATACAAAATACAGGAAAATGACTTTATTGGGTAACTGGCTTCATTAAAGGAGATGTGGTGGTACAGTGGGCACTGCCAATTCCAAGTCAGGTAGTTCAAATCCACTCTTTGCTCCAGAGAAGAAGGTGGACGATCTCCTTCCACACTAATTACAGCCTATGAAAACCCAATGCAGGACCAGCTATAAGTCGGTTCTGACACGACAGCAGTGAATGAACTCTTTATTTCTACTTGATTCCATTAATGTTAATAAACAAATATGGGAATGCTTGATTTAAAGAGGACTTAATGTGCGGTCTGGTATTGTGGAATAGGCACAGTTTGAAAAAGAAGTCTGAGAGCAGTTTGCAAACTTAGCTTTTCCACGATGTTGAAAGCAATGGCCTTAAATCCTGTGCATTTCCTCAACTGTGACATGACAGGGCCACAATGAAGGATTTTAAAGCTCCTTTGACCTAAAAGTACCTCCATATACAGTCCTGGAAATCTACATCTGAAAAACCAGCCATCAAAAAGCCCTCAGACCACACTTGTACTCTAACACAGATGGTGCTGACATGAAGCAGTGTCAACCAGAGAGATTTGGTTCTGCTCTAAAATCCCAAAAAGCTGCTATTTGAAGCAGAAGAAAATGTATTCTACCTAGTAGCCAAACTCTATACATAAACTATATACATAAATTTTAACTAAAGCTATCAAAAAGAAAAAAATCCTATCCTTATATATAAGATAGTAAGGTGTCCCGACTGGGACAGTTCAAGCACAAGGAACATGCCCATTTGTTGAGGAGGGTCAAGGGGCTAAACTAAATGTCCTCCAGTCTGCCACATGTCAGTTTCTCCTGTTCTCAGTAAACATAGTCCATATGTACATAAAATCTAAGGTAGATGAGTATATGGGTGGGTGTGTGAGGCTGTGTGTGTGAAACGGCCTTGGCTTAAGTCCCATGCTGTTATACCTACAGGCATCAGATCCTAAGTACCACCATGTAAAAGCCTGAGCTTGGAGATCTATCCTATCTTCATTTTCACAAGGGCCAGACAGCCATGCCAAGTTCTAAAATATAGGCAGAAGGGTAGCTGACAAGATTTCTGGAGGGGTAGTACTAGTCTTCAAGTATGCCAACTATGCTCTTACCATGGGGCAAGATATTTGTTGTTTTCACTACCTGAAATGATGATTGGTGTCTGAGGTTGTTGTTGTTATGTGCCGTCGAGTCGTTTGTGACTCATAGTGACCCTATGTACAACAGCCCTAAACCCTGTTCTATCCTGTGCCAATCGCACTGCCTCTGACACACCCATCCCGATTACCCCAGTCACTGAATCAATCCATCTCATAGAGGGTCTTCCCCTCCTGCACCGTCCCTCCATCCTCCCAAGCATGATGTCCCTCTACCCTCCCAAGCATGATGTCCCTCTCCAAGGACCCGTCCCTCCTGGCAACATGCCCAAGGTATGTCAGACGAAACCCCAGAATCCTTGCCTCCAAGGAGTTGCTTGGTTTAACCCTCTCCAGGATGAATCTGCTTGTTTTCTTGGCAGTCCATGGTACATTCAATACTCTTCTCCAGCACCACAGCTCAAAGGCATCAATTCTCCTTCTGTCCTCCCTAGTCATTTTCCAACTCTCTGATACATAACAAGTGATTGCAAAGACCATGGCCTGTATCAGGCACACCTTAGTCTCCAGAGAGACACCATTGCTCTTGAGTACTTTAGAGAGGTCCCTTAGCAGCAGCCTTTCCCATCACAATACGTTCTTTTGATTTCCTGACTGCTGGTGCCAAGAATGTTGACCGTGGAGCCAAGCAAACTGAAGCTGTGAACAATCTCAATCTCTTCCCCATCCATCCTGATGCTACCTATTGGTCCAGTGGTGAGAATCTTTGTCTTCTTGACCTTGAGCCTCAGTCCATACTGAAGGGTGCAGTCCTTGACCCTCTGCAGTAAGTGCATGAGGTCCTCCTCAGTTTCAGCAAGCAGGGTTGTGTCATCTGCATAATGCAGATTGTTGATAGATCTTCCACCAACCCTGATGCTACAATTCCCTTCATAGAGCCCAGCCTCCCGGATAATCTGCTCTGCATACAGGTTGAAAAGGTATGGAGACAGGACAATTCCCTGGCGTACACACTTCCCAATTTTCAACCATGCAGTGTTACCCTGCTCGGTTCTGACAACTGCCTCTTGGTCCAAGTATAGGTTTCGCATTAGCACGATCAAGTGTTCTGGGATTCCCATTCTTCTCAGAGTTAGCCACAGTTTGTTATGATCCACACAGTCAAATGCCTTTTAGTGTTAATTAAACATTTATTGAGCACCTACTATTGACATGGTTCCTGGTGGCAAGGATGTAGGGATAAAACATGCAGTTCTCATGGCCTATTCTTTCATATCACAAGGTCCCTGCTCAAATGCCAAGTCCTCAGAGAGATATTCTTTAGCTGCTCTCTATACGGTAATTCCCTCTCAATCACTGGTTAGCTCCTTTTTTATACCCACTTTCTCCAGAGCCCTTACCACTCAAAACCTCCCTAGGTAAAATGTAAGCGTTATGGAAACAGAGCTGTGCTTTAATTATCCCTGCATCCTCATGTCTGGAACTGGGCCTGCCAAGGGTAGATGAAGCTCCATAAACCCTACATGAATGACTGAAGCATAATAGTAGGGCTCCAGGTGCACTGTCATACAACTGTTGACATTTGACAATGATGGCTGAGAAAAATTAGTAAGAAGGGAGCTTCAGTTTTCATTTTTAAAATTACCTGTGAAAATCCAGTTCTGTTCAAGGTGCGCAAGAGTAACAGACTTCTGAAAACTGATCAACAAACAGGCAACTTTTTCACTAGAAGCCATAAAGCAGTGTCCCAATCCTCCTTCAGCTATTGTCTGGGCCTAGATGAAGACCAGCTTAGTAAGTGCTCCCTCTATTTTATCCTGAACCATAATCAAGAGAAAACAGGACCACAGAAAAGTCCTCAGTCTGCTTCTATTCAGTACATATTATTCAGTACACATTAGGCCAAACCACAGGCGTCAGACATTTACACACAATGAGAACATCTTATATTCCCATTACCAATATTTATATTTACTTTCTTCCTTATAAACCTTTTTAAAGCCAAAACACTTGAAGCATGTTTAGTGCTAGTCAAGTATTTTCACATACTGCTCTATGAACTTGTGTGGTGACACATGCCACAAAATACGACACTCTTCCAACGTTGCCTTCAAACTTCTTGCAAATAAGCCATAAATAAAAGTACATTAAATTAAAAATGAGCAAACACCTATGTAAGCAAAATATTTTCCTGAGTATATATCCCATTATATTACTGCGCTATATTAACACCAAAAATGAAAACAAATCAGACGGCATGACTTTAAATGGTCTGGCGTATTTTCACAGGTACTCTTCTAAGAAGAGGAAGCTTTGGTGATCTAGTGGCAAGAAGCCACCAGCTGCTCTGTGGGAGAAGGATGGACAATCTCCTCCTGTGCAATTAACCACCTCTGAAAAGCCACCAGAAAGTCAGCTATGGGTCAGTTCTGACTCTCTGGTACATAACAACAACATCAAAAACAACAACTCCTAAGAAGACCCCAACATAATCCCAAATTTTCCACCCTCACAAAGTGAACTTTGGGTAATACATACGGTTGTAAGGACTTTAACTGCTCTTCCACGTTTCCTGACTTATAATCAATCATCTCATCTGCTCCAAGCCTCCTCACAAGTCCACTGGCATCCTGAGAGCAAACTGCTGTGACATGAGCACCCCAGGCTTTCACTACCTGCCAAAAAACAGAGGAAAATGGTTCTTTTCAAAAAAGAGTTGGCACCATGTATGCATATATCAGCTTAATCTCTAGAGAACTTTAAGTGCCTTATCTTAACAAGAACTATATGAAGACATCTGTCAGAGACCAGTGAAAATAATTAAACCTATGTTCCCAAGAAGTAAATCTCCTTTTCCCTGAATGAGCCAGCCAGCTGTATTGTCAAGAAGTTATAAGGCATTCACTTTGAGAAGGGCTCAGCACCTCAGCAGCATCAGAACAGACAACAATCAACAACTTCATTAAGCTTTCAGTGATGACAAAGGTAGATATGAGTGAGAATAAAATCGCATGTCCTTTAGAAAGTAAATGACTATTTTAAATGTGTCCAGAACATAAAAATGAAACATCACTTCACTTACACCTCCAAAAAGTGTTGATATAACCTTGAATGAGACAGTGTATTAAAGTAATGGGGGGAGCGGGGGCAGGGAGATTGTATACCAACAAAGTTTATCTTTTGCTTTTCAGAGAAGCGAACTGGGAGGAAGGGGGTAGAGGAAAAAAAGTACAACAGTAAATGAATGGAAATCCAAAATCTCTGTAAATGTTCATTAAAATTAGTAAAATTAAAAAAAAAAAAAAGTAATCAGCAAGTAGCCAGAAGAAGACGAAAAAAAATCACTGCCATCTATTTGATTCCAACTCAGGGCTGCCTTCAGCTCCTTTCCCAAGGCTGCCTGCTGGTCTTTTCAGAAGTTTAATTTTTGCCTGTCTTTAACAACCTTTGGCTGTCTTTATAGATGATCTCCTTTATTTCATGATAGATGATATCCTTTATTTCATGCTTCCTTCGTTCATCGGTAATCAATGCCTCAAATCTGTTCTTAAGATTAATTTTTAAATTCAGGTGGCATAGACTCAAGGTCGTATTTTGGTTCTTGTGGACTTGTTTTAATCTTCAGTTTCAATTTGCACATGAGTATTTGGCCGTCTATTTAGGAAGATCTATCAACAATCTGCGTTATACGGATGACACAACCCTGCTCACCGAAACTGAGGAGGACCTCATGCACTTACTGCAGAGGGTCAAGGACTGCACCCTTCAGTATGGACTGAGGCTCAATGTCAAGAAGACAAAGATTCTCACCACTGGACCAATAGGTAGCATCAGGATGGATGGGGAAGAGACTGTGAATTGTTCACAGCTTCAGTTTGCTTGGCTCCACGGTCAACACTCTTGGCACCAGCAGCCAGGAAATAAAAAAAACGTATTGTGATGGGAAAGTCTACTGTTAGGGACCTCTCTAAAGTACTCAAGAGCAACGGTGTCTAAGACTAAGGTGCGCCTGATATAGGCCATCGTCTTTGCAATCACTTGTTATGCACCAGAGAGTTGGACAATGACTAGGGAGGATAGAAGGAGAATTGACGCCTTTGAGCTGTGGTGCTGGAAAAGAATATTGAATGTACCATGGACTGCCAAGAAAACAAACAGATTCATCCTGGAGAGGGTTAAACCAAGCAACTCCTTGGAGGCAAGGATTCTGGGGCTTCATCTGACATACTTTGGACATGTTGTAAGGAGAGACAGGTCCTTGGAGAGGGACATCATGCTTGGTAGGGTAGAGGGTAAGCTCAGGAGGGGAAGACCCTCTATGAGGTAGATTGATTCAGTGACTGGGGTAATCGGGATGAGTGTGTCAGAGGCAATGAGATTGGCACAGGATAGAGCAGGGTTTATGGCTGTTGTACATAGGGTTGCTATGAGTTGCAAACGACTCGAAGGCACATAACAACACAACAACAACAACATTCTAGTCAGCAGTTTGATCAGTTCTGATTCCTGCTATTGAGCTTCTCCAATGATTCTTCCCACAGATGTAGTCAATCTGATTTCTAGACAGTCTTGAAGATGAGGTCCATGTGTAAAGCTGCCTTTTGTGTTTCTTAAAAAAGGTATTTGATATGAATAAAAATCATTGAATGTACAAAATTCAATCCTCTTCTTTGGATCCATAATCAACATCCTTGGTAGCAGCAGTCAGAAGATAAGGAGACAGTGCTTTGGGCAAGGTCACTGTTAGAGACCGCTCCAAAATACTGAAGAGCAATGATATCAGTTTGAAGAATAAGGTGCACCTAATTCAGGTCATTGTCTTTTTAATCACTTGCTATGCATCTGAACTTGGGACAATGAAGTAAGGTGACAGAAGAAGAATTGATGCCTTTGAGTTGTGATATTGGAGTACTGAATATCCAATGGACTGACAAAAGAACAAACAGGTATGTCTTGGAAAAGGTGCACCCAGAGTGTTCCTTGGAGCCAATGATGGCCTAGCTTCATCTCTCATACTTTGAACAAGGAGAGGCTTTTCCTTGGATATCATGCTTTGAAAGGTGGAGGGTCAGCAAAAGAAAGACCTCCAACAAGATGAACTGATGGTAACCGGCAGCAATGGCCTCAGGCGTATCAGAGATGGTAAGGATGGCACAGGATAGGGCAGGATTCAAAGGGTCGATGTGAGCCATGCTCAACTCAATTGCACCTAACAACAACAATTTTCTCCTACAAGTTGCTGGTGGACTTGAACTACCAATTTTTAAGTTAGTAGTCCAATTCCTAATGCAACCAACACAATTCCTAGTCATTTGGTACTACAGCTCTGGTGGCCCAGTGGAAAGGCACTGTGCTGCCAACTATAGGCATGCAGTTCAAATCCTCCAGCTGCATAACAGCAGAAAGATAGGCAATCTCCTCCCTTGTGATTTCTGCCTCTGAAAACCTGCTTAAGGGTTGATTATGGGTCAGTTCTGACTCAGTGACACACAACACCACCTAATAAATTTAAAAATGCTTTTAAAAAGGAAAACATAATTGTTTATTTTCAAAATGTGGATCAAGCCCTTTCCTTTAGAGTAAAAAGACCTATAATCAAATAATCCAAATGATTAAAAATGCAGGTATCTCATATTCTAAAATAATAATATGTAAATCAGATGTACAGTTTTAAAAGGGAGAGCTAAATTCTAAAGCTATTCAGATAAAATATTCAGAAAGCATCTTTTTTCAAAAATTGCTAACATTCATTCCCATAATGCCAATCTCACAGAATTAAAGGAATCATTTTCAGCCTAATTTGAGAATATCTACTTAATGTTGAGTGTCATCTTTATGAGCTTCTTTAAAAACGTTACAAAGATTCACTAGAATGTAAGGCATCTGTGTTTCTGCTGGTCATTGCTGAACCCCCCACTCCTTCGTACTCACAGATGTGAAAAAAATACCTGTTAAATACAGAAATAAATAAAGGGCTTTAAAACATTCATTATTTAATCTAATTTCTCACTTTAAAATGCATTATCAGCCAAAAGCTGACACTCTGGGAATCTGAGAAGAATAAAACCATTTAGGAATGGCATAATCTATAAGTTATTATGTTTATGGGCTGAAAGTAAAGACATTTAAATATAATGACATGTTCCTTTTAAAAGCAGGTTTAAAATCAAATATACGAAGACTATAATCCAAGATGAATAGCTCATTTTTGGTCAGAGCTTTTCTTATATGTACATGTACAAAACTGTCAAGGAAAAATAATGAAGTTATAGTCTAAGTATCTACATTGAACATGTATTTTCTTTAAATAATATTGAACCATCAAGAAGAAATTGTCATGTTAAATAAGTTGTAATTATATTTTCAAATATTGAGGTTTTTCTTCTCTCACTATCTAGTAGGCTTTTAAACATTACCAAAAGGTTTTAATAACAGCTTTAATTTTTCAAACTTTTTTATTGTAAAAGAAACTATAAAAAAATGTCAATAAGGCAGGCACTGCTCAGGTACAGAACACTGGCAGCTGATCCTGAAGCTCACCAAGGTGCCCTGTCTCAAACATGTCCCTCCCTCCTCTAAGACATTATTATCCTGATGTTTATAGTAATCATCTCCTAGTGTTTCAAAACAGTTATGTTACTGAAGTATGCATTCTCTAGGCACTAGAGTTTATAGTCTTCAGCATTTCATAAATTTAGCATTTTTACAAGTCTTTTTTAAAAAACTATCATTTTCGCTCCTATCCCTCTTTTACTTTCTTATAGTGTAGCTGTGAAAGAGTATGGGCCCTGTGATCTGCAGACTTTTCCAGAGTCTAGATTGGGATTGCTGATTGCAGCTCCACACACTGGCCTGTCCTCTGTATTTTCTGCAAATTGGCAGATGAGATTAGAGACTGTATAATTTCTTTAGCAAAATTATACATAGTCTCAGGCAAAACTGTGGGAGGCATGAAACAGCTGCTTGTTACTGCCAATGATTAATATGTTTATTGAGGGCTGCAACATGGTCATAATTTACCTCTCCTGTTTTCATTTAGCAGTGAGAATGCTTTCACAGTTTTCCTCTTAGATTTTGGTTATTCAATGGTGTAGTTAGTTCATCATTTGCAGGGCAAATGTTTAGTTCTTTTCTTTTAACAGTTTACAAATTAATAAGTGGTTCCTTACTGTCTTCCAAAAATTATCACTTTTTTTTATAAAGTCATCATAAATGCTTCGTATTGTTGTTGTGCACTGTCAAGTCGGAACCGACCCGTAGCTGAGCCTCTGGCGGGTTTTCAGAGGCGCTTTAATTGCACCGGGAAGAGACTGCCCATCCTTCTCCTGTGCAGCAGTTTGTAGCCTCAAACTTCAGGACTGCAGTGCAGCTTCTTGCCACAAGGCCACCATGCATTTATTTAACTTTATTCAGCTGTTTCGACCTCTAAAGTTATTATTACTGAAACTCCAATGATCACATTGGACAATTTGGGATAACATTTAGAAGCTTCTTTAAGTTAACATCCAAGTCCTTCTGACATTACACTACTGGTTGTTGACAGCCTCCTTGCTATCTGATATATTTATACGAGGCTTGTCTTGAACACTTTGTGATCTACATGATATATGAAATCAATGAAAGGGGAACACTTCCTTTCCTATTAGAAAATTTTCCTCTTAAAAGAGAAAGCTGAAATTACAGCAAATTTACTACATCTACCTTTCTCAGCTTCATCTTGCTTGGATCCACAATTAACACCTTTGATATGAGCAGTCAGGACATAAGTAGATGTAGAGCATTGGGAAAATCTGCAGTGAGGAACCTTTCTAAATTATTGAGGAGCAGTGATGTCAGTTTGAGGACTAAGGTGTGTCTGATTCAGGTCATGGTCTTTCCGATTACTAGTTATGCAACCAAGAGCTGGACAATGAACAAGGATGACAGAAAAAGAATTTATGCCTTTGAGTTGTGGTATTTGAGAAGATCACTGAACAGTCCATGGATGGCCAAGAAAACGAATAGATATGTCTTGGAGAGGGTGCAGCCAGAACGCTCTTTGGAGGCAAGAATGATGAGGCTTTGTCTAACATACTTTGGACATATTGTAGGAAGTGCTATTTCTTGGAGAGGGACATGATGTTGGGAAGGATGAAGGGTCGTGAAGGAGAGAAAGACTCTCAACCAGGTGGATTGACAGGGTGACTACTGCAATGGACTGTTGTGTGTCAGGGAGTGTGAGGGTGGCACAGGACAGGACTGGTTTCAGATCTTTTATTCATAGGGTCGCCATGAGTCGTACTCAACTCAATGGCACCTAGTAACAACAGCAACAACCTTTCTCTGAGTTGATAAGAAAAAAAATTATAATCCACAATGTTATAAATTTATATTAAAAATGATCTTCTCACTCATAGGAGGAAGAAATTGTTTTACCTGTATGGCAAAAGTACCAACACCGCCTGAAGCACCCAGGATTAATACACTGCAATGCAAAAAAAACCACAATCAATGGGAATCTTAAACAAAGATAACCAGATAAAGAAGATGCTTTTAACATGTAACTAGCTAAAAAATAACCTCAAAGGGTGAATAAAGCAACTCAGTTAACTAAGTTAATAAACACAAAGATTCCCCGCCCCCAAATTAACCACGAAATGGTAAATGCTTTAAGTTAGATAGTCTATGAATTCATTATGAAGATTTCAAGGGTTTTACTTGTATTTTTTTCTTAAAAAGCTCACTTGGTACACAGTAATACTGCTCTTAAGGTTTTTCTAGGTTAAAGTTACCAAAGCCTGCTAAGAGGTCCTTTTCCGTATGTTAGAGTAGATCTTGTTGCTCTCTAAGAAAAATTACATTCCTGACCGCATTCCTGCCAGAGTGGAAGCACTTTCTTTTGTTCAGACATGTCCTGTTCAAGCTCTTCAACTTTCCTAAATGGATTTGGCCTTTTCTTGAATGTGACAAACAGTGAAAGCAGGTGAAGCTACCCTATCAGCCCAAACATGTTGTGAGCATGTTAACACACCACATGTGTTTCATATTGTGAACACGATTACAAAGTCATCCTCCTCCTACTTAACACTAGGGGGTGCTTAGTCTTAGTTTATGGATGAGCTGGGGCTTGGCTAAGGATCATTCAGAGGGATTGTGAACCCCCTAAAATTGTGAATTTCCTGAAAGAGCAGGCAGAATTCGTGAGATTATGTGCACGCCCATTGGGGAGAAGGACCCAGGCCTATTATCAGTATTCCAAAGAAGTCTGTGACCCTAAAGAGAATAACTGCTCTACAAAGGTTTACACTTTGTTCTTGGATTGAGACCATCAGAGAATTTTGAGTTTGGACCGCAAGGGCACAGGTCCCCAGAAAAATGTTATGACTCCCCTGTCCTGTCCTCAGGTGCTGCACAATCGGGGTGGGCTGAGGGAAACTGTAAAAAGTGGCTTTTTAATATTTGATACTGTATTAGCTAAAGAAATATTGTCAAGAGAACACTTCATGAGAATTATCTTTAGGACTGACCAGGGGAAAACATTTTTCTGGGGACTAAGTCGCTATGAATCTGCACTGTTGGCTGTGTAACTGCTGATTATGGATCTTTCATTTATTTTATTACTAGAAGTACTGGCCTCTAGCAAGTACACTGGATCTCATTTGGTCTACAACCTTAACTTGACTTTCATTTCATTCTTTTCTCTCTTACCCAAATTACAGAAGGCTGTTGTCTCCCTTCACATCTTAAAAGTCACTGCTAGAATTTCAGAGCCAGTTGTTTCTTTAGAAATTAACTCAAGTGAATATAATTAAAGCAATTCTTCTTGCAAACTGTTCCTTCTAAAAGTTATTTTAATTTCATATAATTATAAATTGCGAATAGAAGGAACTTGAAAGATCAACCTTTCTTAAACCTTTCAATTCTTGCATACATTTTCACAGACTTAGCAATTCTAAATAAGGGAGAGAACATTAAAACAGTCTCACAGGTGAGAAAGAGGAATGGAGAGGAGAGGGGAAGGAGAAGTGGATGGAGGGAAAGAGAGAAATACAAAATACTAAATATTTCACTCTCTAAAGCACAAGGAAGAACCCAAGACACTAAAGAGCTGAACAGAAGATTCCAAAAGGCAGAACGGAACGACAAAGCAAAATACTACAATGAAATGTGTGAGGAGCTAGAGTTGGAAAATCAAAAGGGCCGAACTCGTTCAGCATTTCTTAAGCTCAAGGAACTGAAGAGCAAATTCAAACCTCGAGTTGCTACAATCAGGATGCTTTATGTTAAATGATCCAGGAGGTATCAAAAGAAGATGGAAGGAATATACTGAGTCATTGTACCAAAAGGAATTGGCAGATACAGAAGAATTTAATGAAACAGCATTTGAGTCAGAGCCTATGGTGATGAAGGCAGAAGTTCAAGCTGCTTTGAAGGAAATAGCAAAAAATAAGGCCCCCGGAATAGATGGCATACCAATTGACATATTTCAGCTAACAGATGCTGCCGTGGATGTGCTCACTAAGTTGTGCCAAGAAATCTGGAGAATAACCACTTGGCCAACTGACTGGAAGAGGTCAATATCTGTTCCCATCCCAAAGAAGGGCGACCCAACTGAGTGTGGAAACTACAGAACAATATCATTGATTTCACATGCAAGCAAGATTCTACTTAAGATTATCCAAAAATGACTGGATCAGCACATCAGCAGAGAGCTGCCAGAAGTCCAGGCTGGGTTTAGAAGGGGTTGTGGTACTAGGGATATTATAGCTGATGTTAGATGGATCTTAGCTGAAAGCAGAGAATACCAGAAGAATGTCTATCTGTGTTTCATTGATTATGCAAAGGCATTTGACTGCATGGATCATAACAAACTGTGGCTGACTCTGAGAAGAATGGGAATCCCAGAACATTTAATCGTGCTAATGCGAAACCTATACTTGGACCAGGAGGCAGTCATCAGAACAGAGCAGGGCAACACTGCATGGTTCAAAATCGGGAAGGCTGTATGTCAGGGATGTGTCCTGTCTCCATACCTTTTCAACCTGTATGCAGAGCAGATTATCCGAGAGGCGGGGCTCTATGAGGAGAGGCGTGGTGTTAGGATTGGTGGACGATCTATCAACAATCTGCGTTATGCAGATGACACAACCTTGCTCACTGAAACTGAGGAGGACCTCATGCACTTACTGCAGAGAGTCAAGGACTGCAGCCTTCAGTATGGACTGAGGCTCAATGTCAAGAAGATAAAAATTCTCACCACTGGACCAATCGGTAGCATCAGGATGGATGGCAAAGAGATTGAGATTGTTCACAGCTTCAGTTTGCTCGGCTCCACGGTCAACACTCTTGGCACCAGAAGTCAGGAAATCAAAAAGCGCATCGCAATGGGAAAGTCTGCTGTTAGGGACCTCTCCAAAATACTCAAGAGCAACAGTGTCTCTTTGGAGACTAAGGTGCGCCTGATACAGGCCATGGTTTTTGCAATCACTTGTTATGCACCAGAGAGTTGGACAATGACTAGGGAGGATAGAAGGAGAATTGACGCCTTTGAGCTGTGGTGCTGGAGAAGAGTATTGAATGTACCATGGACTGCCAAGAAAACAAATAGATTCATCGTAGAGAGGGTTAAAACCAGGCTGCTCCTTGGAGGCAAGGATTCTGGGGCTTCGTCTGACATACTTTGGACATGTTGTAAGGAGAGACAGGTCTTTAGAGAGGGACATCATGCTGGGTAGAGTAGAGGGACAGCGCAGGAGTGGAAGACCCTCTATGAGGTGGATTGATTCAGTGACTGGGGTAATCGGGATGGGTGTGTCAGAGGCAATGCGATTGGCACAGGATAGAGCAGGGTTTAGGGCTATGGTACACAGGGTCGCTATGAATCGCAAACGACTCGACGGCACATAACAACAACAATGAACAGTGCTCTATGAGTCATCTACGACTCGATGGCACCTAATAACAACAGCAAGCACTCTGCCCTCAACAAGATGGATTGTCACAATTACTCTACTGGGGAGCTCTGGTATGTCAGGGATAGTCAGGATGGTACAGGATAGGGCAGGGTTCAGATCCATTGTTCATGCGAGCCCTGTGGGTTGTATTGAACTCCACAGCACTTAACATAAATAACAACTGTTTTCCATTTGCAAGGAAATGTAACAAGTCAAACTTATTTACAATCTCCCACAACTTCATCTTCATCACAATTTCATACTTTCTCTCTATTCCTCAAATCAAACTGTCTACCTCAGCTTCCTGGTTCCCTGAGTCTTCCCTCAAGACTTCTCTGCACAGGCCATGTCTCAAGGCTTGAGTGCTTTGTCACCTTCTAAGGTCAGCCTCTCTTCCCTCAAAGGCCCAGTCTTCTTCCACCATTTAGAGCACATCTGTAACTTGTATCCATGCACTACATTTGGTAACAGCAATCATCACATCGTTAACTTTCACGCACACATCCTGCTGTATGAGCTATCCTATCAGCCCTTGAGGACAGAGACCTCATATCATGTCCAGTATTGGGAATACTACCTTGTATTTTAAAAAAGAAATCATTCTATGATACAATCAAGGTGCTACTCATCTCAACGAGTTTTTGAAAGACTGCACTAAAATTTCTTCCAGTAAAGAAATGCCTAGAATTAATTTTCCTTCTCTCTTTGAAAATGTTGGATTTAAGAGGAACCAAATTTAATGTTGCTAAAGGAGCCTACTGCTACTTGTATATGACCTCATCACTTCCTTATAAACCTTGTTTCAAAGTAGCCTTATTTCTTGGATTTTAAAAAAAAAAGGAACCATCTCACTCTAATAACAAAGTTTAACAGGGCACCATCTCACTCCAATAACGAAGTTTAACACTGGCAAAGTTTAACAGGGCACCAAGTAATAGATGTTGGAGAGGATGTGGCAAGAAAGGAACTCTTATACATTGTTAGTGGGACTGTAAAATGGTGCAACCATTCTGGAAGGTAGTCTGGCACTTCCTCAAAAAGCTGAACACAGAAATTCCATATGACCCAGCTATTCCACTACTTGGAATATACCCTGAGAATATGAGAACTGAGATACAAACTGAGATTTGCATAACAATGTTCATAGCAGCATTATTCACCATCACAAGAACATGGAAACAGCCCAGATGTCCAACCACAAACGAATGGATTGAGAAATTATGGTACCTTCACACAATGGAATATTATGCAGCATGCAGGAACAATAACTTTGTAAATTATTACCTAACTTGGGAGGGACTGGAGAGCATTATGCTGAATGAATTAACTCAGACCCACAAGGATAAATATTGTAAAAGCCATTATTGTAGAACGAATATAAGGATCCAAGAAGGGTGAGAGAGGCTGGAAGCAGAGGGATGTGGATGTGCAGGGGGAGGGAGGAATTAATCCTTAGGTTGTACAATTTGATGGGTGGAGGGGTGAGAGAAATAGAAAGAATTTGTTCTAATTTGTATTAGAGTTTTGTAAA